TAACAGGGTATAACATATATACATGCATTTATATGTACTTGTATTTAAATTTGATATTAACCACAAATTTTAGGTCACAAAAAAAACATTTTTAAATCTTAAAATTATTAGGCATATTTTATCAATTTTTAAATAGATTATTGTTTTATTATCGTAAAGTGAATGAACTTTCCAAAAAGGAAATATTTACAGCATAACAAATAAGTTTTAGGCCGAGTAGGCTAGACGATATTAATTTGTATACTAGGTGTTTTGTAATAATGTCGAATGACATAAAGTCCAAATTATTATACAAACAAATTTTAATTCGTTTATGTTGAAAATTTTATTCGTTATGAAAATTTTGCCAACTGAATACGATTATCAAAATTTTTAAAATATAAGCAAGTTTTATAAACGCAATATGGCAAAACAAGAGCTACCAAACGTAATATTACAAAAACAGAACGTGGTGAATATGCAATATATTTTAAACTTTTCTATAAAATCAAAACAGTTCATGTGGTTTAATTGCGTTACTTATAATGATTTCGCTATACGAGTATAGCGAAAAATAAACAATGCTTATGAGCAAATTAGATTAGCAACATTTGTTTGTGATGTCTATAATTTAATGCACATGAATTTTTTTTAATTTTCCCAAAATATTCTTGATTTATTTAAAATTTATCAAAATAACAATAAACTGTTGGTGACTCAACTGATGCTTTTTCAAATTAACTTCAAAAACTTGTAATTTTAGGATTTCGATTAGAAATTTACTTGGATGAGTATTGAAAAAACCACTTTCAAATTGAAACAGCACATTTTTGGTACAATTGCATTTTACATATTATGTAACTTTGATTTTATTTCAATTCCATTATTATTTCAGCCTCAAAAAAATTTTTGACATTAACCTATAAAAAATTCTGAATACATTATGTACATAAATAAGTGAAACTTTGAAGCTTACTCATCCAAAATTGTGAAATATTTTTACTGAATTAAAAAAATGATAATTAATTAGTTCAAAATAGGAAAAAGTAAATAAGAAAATCAAAATTCACAATTTTTAATGAATTGATGACGAAAAAGTGTCTGGTGCTTATGATGTTTTTGGACTAATTCATCTTTTTTTTTTTATTTCATTTTAATGATATTGTTCTTCCATTTTAAATTATAACTAAATATAGAAGCGTCGCGTAATATGTATTTTTTTATTTTAATACGTAGTACAAGTAACACATACATACATGCCATATTTACATATAATGTATTATTATAGAATATAGATTATTTAAGTATTAAACTCTGTCATATACTGGAAAAGTATTCTGAACATAGTCCAAAATTTAATCATTTCTATTTATGTATATGTACATATGTATGTATGTTCATATATTAATGTGTTATAAACAAATTCCCGTAACAAAAAGTATGAATTTAGTAAAAATATTAATTTGAAAAAATCTAACCATCAAAAAAAAAGTTCGTTTCCCCGTTAAATTTTTCTTATCATGGATCAACTTTTTTCTTTTTGTTTTAAAAATATTATTGACCTTTGATTAATGACTCTTTGTTTTAATATATATATAAATACAATTTGTATTTATACATAATTTTAAAAACAAGGTAACATATTTATTTTTGGTTATCTTGAAAACATGAAATGCATATTTTTACAGATAAATACTTTAAAATAATTAAAATTTTACTTGAAAATGAGAAATTCCGGAAAAATAAGTGTATATAATGAAAATTACTCAATTATATTTAATTATTTACTCACCGGATAATATTTAGAACAAAGCAAAGTAATTGAGAAAAACGGTGAAAAATATAGAGAGAATGATTTACGATAAAATATTGCAATCGATTGCAATTAATATTTTTCCCCGTTTTACCTGAGCAATTTAAAAATGGGAAAATTATAAACAATATTTTAAGTTTAAAAATTTATATAAAAAAGATGAATTTTATATTAATGTAGTGCAGTTAGCATTTACAATTTAAGTTTTGAAGAACCAGAAGAAGCAGTTTTGCGCTTAGTAATTCACAGTAATTAATTAATAATTTTGATTTATATAGATCGTTAGGTATTGCCTTTTGTTTTTTTGTGATAGTTTTTTTGTTACAATTTTGGAAGTAAAATTATTAAATTTTGACGTAAAGCCGGATTTCTGTCAGATAATTTCTGTTTGATATGTAAATCAGAACTAGGCGTAGATTCAAACATACTCGTAGATATTGTCATATATGTAAGCAACTATAAAAATTTAAAATATATGTAGAACGTAAAACTTGATACTGAATTGGTTTTAACAATTGGGTTTCAGCATTACATAACAATACTGAACTTGATCGATTAAAATAACATCATTGCATTTTGAAACACAAGGATTTTCAAATTTTTATATTTATTTTTAATATTATAATAATTAAGAACGTCATGACAATTTTTTATTGTTCTGTTTTAGTTTTTCATTTTATGTAATATGAATAACGTGTAATGATAAAAAAATATTGTGCGTTAAGCTTAATAATTTTTTTTTTTATTTACTTTGATTAAATTTTTGTTAAACTCTTAGAATTCTTTCAAATAATTTTATTCACAAAAATATTCTCAAAAAAAAAATATAATAATAATAAATAAAATATTTACTTATCTTATATTGAATTATAACAGTATACAACTCTCTATTCAAATTGTATTAAGACGTCAGAGATAACATTACCAACTGGTTATATATTTAATTTATTTACATACATATGAGGTGTTATCTAACCTTCATATTATAGTGAGATATCATAATGAATAGAATCCTAAAAAAAAAAACTAAAAGATTCTAAATAGAATTATTAATAATTCAAATAAAGAATATTGATATAAATATTGCCATATAGATGATCAATTAAATGTTGCCATATAGTGACAGAAAATAATGCTAGGTTTATATTCCAATATTGTTAGAACGCATTTAGTATAATTGAAAATTACTAACTAATTTTTAGAATGATATTTTTGATTCAAGCTCACTCTTGTTATATTTCGTCTTCCTGGAATGTTAGTGATCTCTTCACAATTTGGAACCAATAAACTTTGAATATATTTTGAATCAGTTTTCTGTTTGATGCAGTTCAACTCAACGAAATATTTTTTTCTTTTAACATTTTAGAAAAAGATCGGAATTGTGTTAAAAATTTTCTTTATTTGATTAAAACAAAAAAAGGTTTGATGACTATCTCTAATAAAAATATGATTAAAAAATTTCATTTAAATTTTTACTTTTTGTTTTACTTTACATACTAAATTTAAATTTTTTAATAGTTTAGGTTCTTCATTTTAAAAAAAATTTACAATCGTTGCGCTACTGTTCACAAATATTTTTATTTTCTTGTTTTTCGTGTACGTATTTTTTTTTTTTTTTTCATTAAACATTTTAATCTCATAAAAACATAATTACCATTAGGTCTCTTTTATTGAAAAAAAAAACCATTCTATAATTTTAATATTTTTATCTCTTGTTATCTGTGAACGTGAGTTTTGTTCAATTGATAACACACATAAAAATACATAACCACACACTTGAATTGAAGATTAAGAAATAACAACAAGAATAACAAAATTAATTTTTTTTTTGTTTCTTGTACTTATGCTAAATTATTTAATTTCAAGATTGCATAGTAGTTGGAATTTTTTTTTTTTTGTATTTATTTTCTCCTTCTTTTAATAATTGCTATGCAATTAATCACAATAATGGATCGAATTTAAACTGGACGGGAACGGATTACAAAAAAAAAAAAATTTTTTTAATAAAAAGCGGTCGTAATATTTTTAATTAAATACACGTATTTTAACTAAAAAAAAATAATTATCTATATAAAATATATTTTACAGTTTCTTTTGTTTTGTCTTATTTTTAATATCTTATATAATAAAACAAAAATATTTAAAAAAATTTCATTAGGGTTGTCTAAAATGCCAAGCAATTTAATTTTAAAAACAATTCTTTAAAAAGATTTTCTATTTTCTAATCAACATATTTTTTTTTTCATTTTAGAGTAAAACGATAAAATGGGACCATTCAAGAAAATATTGAAAATTATTTTAGTTTTATAATATCTACATAAATATGTGAAATAATGAATTTATGACCATTATTAGATCAATTAAAAATTAAAACTTTTATAAATTTAATTTAGTTTGCCGGTTATTACTGAATAACACTATTGAATAATACGATAAGGAAAATTTTATTGTTTTAATTAATGAGATTTCAGTAATAATTTTTTTTTTTAGTGATAAAATCAAATTATTTATAAAATTACCAAAAACTAAATAAAATATGTAATACTATAATTTATGCTATAGGTTTTCTATTTTGAAATTAAAATATAAACTTATGTGATTGGACGTCAAATTCAAATCTAAACCAGGCTTCTAAGAAATTCAAAAAATACATGTCGATTATGATAAAAAGCAAGTCCAATAAGTTAAATAAAAGTGTATAAGTTGATTATATGGACACAACCCCATATAAGTGTACATTTTAAAATTTGGTCACATTTAAAACTTTATTTTTGAAAATTAATCAGGAAATGTTATCGTATTTTTATATTATTTGTATTATCACTTTGAAAAAATTTGAAAACTGTTAGATATTTAAAAATTCATAACTAATATTTGCCTAAAATTATATTTAAAAATTTTTCCGGCGGTTCATGTTCCATTTTATCGTTCCTCATAAATGAAAACAACACCAAAAAAAATAAAGAGTTTTTTTATAGGTTTTCTTTTCTTAATTCTAATATTTTTATATTTTTATTTAACTAAGAAAACTTTTTTAAATAATTTTTAATTTAAAATAATCGTTTTTAATTTTAATTTGTGATAATTGCCAAAAAAAAAAAAAAAGAATAATTTCAAACAACATTTTTTATAATGCTTTTTATTTTCCATAAAAATTAATTTTCATAATTTCATTCTTTTATTTTCTTTTTTTTTTATATAATTTCAGAATTTCTTTTTGAATAATATTTTGAATATCTCATTTATGATATTTGGAAAGCTGTAAGAGAAGCAGATATCAGAGGAAGAGCTTAATAAATCAAGGATTTGGTTTCTATTTTATTTATTTTATTTTTACTTTTTGGTTTACATGGCTTTGATTTTTGTTTGTTGTAAAAGAGAAAAAAACCAAAATTAAGAGTGGACAAGAGTTGGATTTTAAAATTATTATAGAGGCAATAATTCTCGTCATAATTTAATGATATAATTATTATTATACATGCAAGAAGAGGATCAAAATATAAAAAAAAATTATTTTGGTTTTTTTTTGTTTTTGTGAAGTTGGTATATACTTGAAGTACAATTGCAACTTCTGAAATGTTATTTTGAACGTTAATCAAAAAAAGAAAATAGAAGAATATCATCAAATAAATAAATTTATTTTGATATTACTTACAACAACATTATCACTTAAAATTAAAGAACTCCAGAGACAATTTTCAATAAAATTTTTTTTATAAAATTCTTTACAAAATATTAACAACAATTTTAATAAAGCAAGAAGCGGATAAATTATTCAAAATTTCATTATGAATTCAACTACATTTTTTGATGAAAATTTAATTTTCGTATACAAAGAGGTTGTTCAAAATTATCTACCCAATTTTGTTAAAAATTTTGAATATACACCATGGGTATTTTCTTTACTTGGCTCAGCTGTAATTGGATTAAGCGGTATTTTACCATTAGCTATAATACCAACAACACTTGATAAAAATTCATCAAATAAAAATGAAATATCAGATCGTAAGTACAAGAAAATATAATCTGTAAACCCTAATTTTAAAATTAATTTTAATTTTTTTTTTTATTTTTTTTATTAATTTTAGCTGCTGATTCAAAACCCCTTAAAGTATTACTTAGTTTTGCAGTGGGAGGTCTTTTAGGTGATGTTTTTCTACATTTATTACCAGAAGCTTGGACAACTGATTTTGAACAAAAAAGTAATATTATTTAAAATTTGTGATATTAGCATTTTATAAAATCATAAAAATTACTTTTAATATTGATTTTAGATATAAACGGTCATCCGTCTCTAAGAAGTGGTTTATGGGTTTTGGCTGGCGTTTTAATTTTTACAATTGTTGAGAAAATATTCTCTGGTTATGTAAATGCTGATGAAGATAATCCACAGCCAAAATGTGTTGAAATAGCAAATTGTTTATTAAGAAAATCTGGTGGTAAAATTCTTGAAGGACAGCAATCAGTATCATGTTCAGCAAGTGGTTGTGATATAGAAGATGTTCCAAATGGCTGTTATTTACGAGAGCGTGAAAAACAAAAAAAAGAGCAACCAAAAAAAGTAGCTGGTTATTTAAATTTAATGGCAAATTCAATTGATAATTTTACACATGGTTTGGCAGTAGCTGGTTCTTTTTTGGTATCATTTAGGCATGGTATATTAGCTACATTTGCCATCTTATGTAAGTTTATTTTAATTTTAAAAATGTTTTATCTACTATAAATTAATTCATATTTTATTTAAATTTTAGTACATGAGATCCCTCATGAAGTAGGAGATTTTGCGATTTTATTACGTTCCGGTTTTAGTAGGTGGGATGCTGCTCGAGCTCAACTGTTAACTGCTTCTGCTGGAATTTTAGGTGCACTTGTTGCTATTGGTGGTACAGGAGTTACGTCGGCAATGGGTAAGATTTTTTTTAAATGAAACCAAAAATGTTTTCCCTTAATTAATTTTATGTTTAAGCTAAACAATGTTTTTATTTTGTATCACATTATATTTTACTATGTTATATTAAAATTTCTTTATTCTATATTTTAGAAGCAAGAACATCTTGGATAATGCCATTCACCGCTGGAGGATTCTTACATATCGCCTTAGTTACAGTATTACCAGATTTGTTAAAAGAAGAAGATCCTAAAGAGTCTATAAAGCAATTAATTTCCTTATTATTTGGTATATTTTTAATGGCTATTATGACAATTCTCTTTGAGTCATAAAATTTTAAATGTTAATTGATTTAAATACGAAACACACACACACATTACAAAAGAAATATGTATTTTTTTACAAATAAAATCCACTCCCATTAATGTTTTTTTTTATTAGCGATTATTGATAATTGTTTTAATTATATACAGAACTGAGTTCTTATTTTTACGTTTGGTAAGATGATGTATGTAAATATATGTATCTCTTATAGATATATTCAATGCATATTTTATGATATATGCGAAAGATAATATGCCAGTTGTAACTTACCTAAACATAATATTATTACTGATGTTAGTTATTATTTAGTGAGATTTTCACATATTAGATTTGTTAAAATTTCTCTAGTTCGTAATTTCAAAATTAAAATTGAAATTATTTATTATTATTTGTAAAAATTAAGAAAAACGATGCAATAAATGTAATGTCTATGTACTATAAATTATGTTGTACATGTAACATAACATGTATTTTGTTTGTACAGTTTTACTTACATAATATTAGAACTTAAGTATTTCCTTTGATTGATATTCTATATTTAAAATTAAAGCACAATTATATTACGAATAATTTCAATTTTTAAATAAAGCGTTAGTCAAATATAATGTTAATCAAGTTTTGCTCAACATATGTAAATTATCAAAAATTAATACTAAATAATAAGTACCGTCAGCTATATGTGTTTAGGATGGTTATGACCCGTATGTAATTTCAACATTACATCTTTCATTATACACATGCATAGGTTATTAATCATTATTTAATATAAAAAAGAATATTGTAGTCTTTTTTTTAAATAAAAAAAAATCATAAATATTTAAAAATTTTTGCTAAGAGTTTGAAATTCTCTTAATTAATTTAAAAAATATATATATATATATAAATATAATTTTGTTTGTTTTTTTTTTACTTATAACAAGTCAGAAATATTAAATTAAATTATTAAATAAATACAATAAAAGCAATAAAATTTGCTTTAAGTTTTGTTGGATTTTTTTTTCGTTTTTTAAAAATATAAATTATAAAATAAAGTAAAACTTCATTTTTTTTTGTATGAAATAAAGTTATAGATTTTAACATTATTGAAGTAAAATTAACAATTGATTATGAATTGAAAATAAAATAAAATAATAATAATAAGGTTTAATTTTAAAAATAGTATATTTTGTTGTATTCGAAAATATAAATAATGTAAAAATATTATACATTTTTATTCAAGAATAAGAAAAGAATTATAAACAAATTATTATTGTGATAAAGAAGAAAAAAATTATATATAAAATGTAAATAAATAAAGCTTTAGATAGTTGAAATAAGTTTTTATTAGAATTTACAATCAAAACTTTCAACAGGTTAGTTATAAGTATGTAGTTAAATTCAAAATTCATCAATGCGCTTTTCATGCACCATTTTACTTAATATAAAAAATTGTTTATGATTATATTATGAACCCTTCGATGCCCTTGAGCTTGCTTTTATGTTATTTAGGATACAAAAGTTTTATTAACTTAGGCAAAAATATAATATTTGCTCATCCTTCTGAGCCAATATTATATAAATTTTGCATATTTTTTTTAAATACGGGTGTTCTAATATTTTTAATTTTATTTTCAATTTTCGCAATTTGTGATTCTTATCTGATTTCGGTGGAAAATTGTTTGAAAAAAAACATTAAACGTAAAAAATTTGTAACATTAATTTAACGTATAACACTATGTAGGTACGCAATTAAATTTTGGTTTATTTACCAAATACGCATTTGCATTCTAACATTCCATTAATTTTAAATTTAACAAGAGCATACAGATAATAAATTAAATATTTGAAAACAAAAATTGTGGATGTACATGCACAGTATACAAAAGTGCAAAAACTAAATTAAATTTCTGATCTCTAGGAATAATAAAATAATCATACTTTTAACAAAATATTAAACAAGAAAAGTACTTGGCCGGTTACAGCAAGACTTAACTTAAAATTCGTTAATTCTCGGAATAAGGTTTTTTGTATTTAATTCGAAATTACAAACCGCACAACAAAAACGATCAAATAAAGATTGGGTATAATTATATTTTAATGAAAAAAGCTGAAATGAAAAAGTTTATAAAGCAAACTATATTGTTCACTTTTTTCAGAAAATGAAATTAGGTAAATTCCTGAAGAAAAGGAGCGACGTTGTATTAAAGATATTCGGATCTGAAATACTTTTTTAAATATCACAATTGCCAAGTTTTGAGCCAATTCCACAATTTAATTTCGAAATTAAATACCTAGTAGTTTTCGAATTTTTTGCAATACAAAGGAATAAAAATACTCACTCAGTTTATTCTCAAAAAATATTTTCCCCCTGTCGATTTTGATTCAAAAAATAAATGCACTTCAATTGTCAATAATGATTCCAATTCCGCTGAAATTTTGATTCCGAAAATAAATGCACCTCGTAATTACATTTCAACTTAGAATTCGAATACGACATTGACCCGTTGAATCGGATTTCTACTTGACGTCTGTTGAACCGGATCTCTAATTGATGTCCGTGCAAAATGTTTAACTAATCAAATATTTTAATTTTATTTTTTAAATTATAAAACTGCGGTTATTTCCTAATAATCAAAGTTTGTGCAATTTTCGCAAATCCCGTTTTTGAAAATATGTAATGTAGAAACTATATATTTTATAGAATAGTAAACACATCTTAAGTTCTCAAAAGTTTGTTCGAACAGAATTTACAGCAAAACAACAGTAGTACTACTTTGACCCAGTTGTTTGTTTAGTTTTATTTTGAAAATATTTGCCGTGTTTATTTTGATATTTATTGCCAATAGGGCTTCATTGGCCGAACTAGTATTTTTATTTCTGTCGTGGTATATTTCTACTGACTAGTATACAAAATCTAAGCTAAGCTAAGCTACTATGAGAATTTAAAAATGACATTTTTATTTTCTTTCCAGCTGGTTTTGTTGACGCAAAAGTTCACAGTTAAAAAAAGTTGGCTGCAAAGAAAGTGCTACAACTTTTGAGCCACTTTTGAATGTTTTTTGAGTTACAACCTTGATAGATGTTCCTATTCTACTATGTTTAAACAAAGACATTATAATTACTTTTATTATAGTATTTTTAATGCCTTTGGTATAAATTAATGCAAAAAATTGTAAAACATGTAAAGTCTTATGTTGATATGAAAATGAAAATGCAGTTAAGGATCTGTAATAAAGTTTTGACAATTAAATCTTGAAATATGAATGAAAAAAATATATTGATCATTTTGTCAAAGAGCTAAAATCTTGCTCTTGACAAAAGCATTTTGTCAAAGAGAATTGTACGGCGCGAAATTATATATAAATTGCTATAAAAATATGATTGTCGTTTGTGTAAAATGTCAAAAGCATTGAAATTAATTTTTTGATTTCAACGTGGAGTCGCTCTTGAAACTATAATCTCCTTTTATCTTTAAATTTTCCTTTTTAAATTTTCATTAAATTGTTTTAAGTTCTCTCTATATATATATATATATTATGTACCTATGATATTGGAAATGTTTATAACTTTATACACATGTAGGT